AATAATTCGTTCTTATTGCGAAATAGGAGCACTATTTATCAATCTGTAATAAAAGACGTGAGGAAATTCTGTCTTTTTTGAAGACAAACATTTTTTCTGAGTAACGTTTTACTGCTTTGTTCAAACAACTGAAAAAAGTCATCAACATTTTCCCAGCAACGGAACTGTTGGGTTGGCGCACCGAGCCATTTGCGCAGCACTGCGCCAGCTCCAGTGAGTTACCCAGGCCTAGTTTAAGGGCTGTGGAGGATGGGGAAACCACCCGGACGACCATCAATATAACTCATTGTGAAGAGGTGTGTCGGGTTTTTTTTTGGTGTTAAGCCACCGGTTATAAAACAAAGGCGACAAATACAGCGGGAAAAAATGCAAAGCAAGGTCGTTCGTTCGCAGATCCAGTTCTCAGTTCAAGTAATAATATAAGCAAAGTGAATGGCGCACTTTCTTGCTCCCTATTACCGTTCCACAATACTGAATATGATTTGTCCTTGCCGTTGGTTGCATTGGCGTCGATTCGGTACCACACCAGGCTCCAATTGTTCTTCGTTGGTTAATTCTGCTCCAATTTGCCATCCGATCAATTCTACGCCTCTGTTTGGGTAGTTGCGGTATGATTTTATATCCGCCTCCAACAATCGACAGGAACCCGGCTCTCCTTGGCATTTCAGTACTTTGGTTTGAACCATTGCCCAATTGCGATCGTCTGATTGGTTGGGCGCTGGGGCTTTGATGACTTCCTTTAGGTCTGGTTGGAACCTCAACAACATTTTTCACCTTTTCTACCATATGAAAGTTCGTATCGGCACCAGCCTAGTACTCTTTTCGCTCAATTGAACCTCCTTCTGTGCTAATTGAGTTTGATCTCGCACTGAGGCCTTTGATTGTCGTTACTAATCGTTAGTCTGCAGAAAAATCACGGGATTTTCCTCCTGCCATCGCTACAAAGGTTTTCAAATCTTTTGGAGTCACCAGTACTGGAGGAACTTTTGCCTTTCTAGCGCGTTAAGCATTCAACACTAACAGTACTTTGTTGCCTTTTGCCAATTCAACGCCCACCGCTTGGAGAGTGGAACTCTTGAATTTATTCATGTTGTTTGGTGGTTTGTTGGTTTTATTAAACATAATGGTTTTCGTTTAAAATTAGCACCAGGAACCCGACAGCGTGCATAAAGGCGCCTATAAATATATGGACCGGTTGCGAAAGGCCAAAGAACGTCCTTCGACGTGAAGGAGGTTCGCGGTGGCTTCGGCCACTTTTTCACCAGGATGTTGATTGAACTGGGGCTCGATTGGCCGATGATTCAGGGCAATAAGTTCACGATTTTTTCGAAATTTACCTAATCAAAGTGAAGGTTGTGTGCTTGAGGTGCAGCTCCTGTTGGCTTTGAAGAGTTCTTGGGTCTCTGGTAATCAAACCATTGGGTTTTGAGGGCTTCGCCAGGCCTCCTTATCTGGTTTGTTGCCGTTTTTAAACAAAATCCACTGTGATTTGATGCCCACAATCAATCACCGGAAAGTTTCAAATCTGAGGTCGTACCAACCTCTTGGGATCTGATACCATTTCCAATGGCGTGGGTACCTGGTGTAGATAACATTGTTCCTAACAGTGTCAGGTTTGAAATATTTGCCTAATTGTTTTTGAAGGCGTCGGCCTTACCAAGGCTGTCGCCTTTTGCGTTTTCTAGAAAGTGGAAATTTCTTGAGTTAAAAAAGGATTAATAATGCATTAAGTGAAGCCACGTCGAAGACGTCGCATTATAAATGTGACCTTTACTGGATGGCATCCTTGACTTTATCAGGCCCGGCCAAATAATACAAAAAAATCACGCACATTGTTCTGACAAAGTACCACAGCACTCCCACGTGCAAAGGGACGTTTTATACAATATGCGATTTATTCTCCTGCTGAATACTGGGTGGACCAAAGTCAATCGGCCTGATATTGCTTGAGCTGGCATGGCTCAAAGTGCTGGCCAGTGTGGCTGCTCCACCCAGTATGCAATGGGTACTTTTACAAGTCGTACCATGTTACATGGGCATGTACTTATTGCCCGTGTCAGGCTGCGACAATATATTCGAAATGCATTTTTCCTGCCAGGTTGCAGGCCTTGAAGCTTTCGCAAAGCTTTATAAGACTTCTTTAAATCACGCTAAAAGTATCCACAGATTTGCAAGATGGGGTTCTTGGCCGTTTTGCGCCAATCTCCAGCCACGTTGCATCAAGTGGGAGGCATTAGCCTCACAATCTCTTCCGAAAACAATTGCATTGCGGTGATTTAATCAAATTACCATGCGGCCGATGACCTTAAGGTGCCATTTCGGGGCAAAGAGGTCCTTCGTACCCAATGGTACCGATCGGTTTGGTCACATAGTTTCAGGAACCATTTGGTCGAAACTATTAATCAACGCAAAAAGTGTCAAACTTTGGATTTTGAAATTATAATTTTCGTATGTTGATAAGTCCCAAGTTAGGAAAGTCCGATACTTGAAGTTGAAGGCGTCTCTCTACTTGAAGGTGCTTAAGTGAAGTTTCTGTGAGTCTGTAGGGGGATTTTTGCCAAGTTTCCAAACCTTGAGGCTTAGAATTACTGTCGAGTTTTATATGCTCAGAAGTCTCAAGCTAAGGAAGTTGGACGCATGAAATTTGCTACGTGGTTGAAGAAACATTGTTACTTGAAGCTACTTAAGTGACGATCTTGTGCAGGATGATTTTTCGCCGAATTTTGAAACTGATGCGTCCACCTTGAAACTTAGAACGACTCTGTCCAGTCTGCATCTGCTCATAAGTCTCAAGTTAAGAAAGTTCCACTCTTGAAAATTGCTGTGAAGATGAAGAAACAATGTCTCTTGAAGTTACTGAAGTGACAATTTTGTGAGTCTACAGAGTGAGTTTTTGTCGAATTTTTCAGTTTGTGGCGTCAATCTGCAGCATGGAATTGTGGTTTTAGCGAGTTTTCAACTGATGAACCAGAATGATTCTGGACAGGTTTCATCTGCGATAAGTTTCAGATTAAGGAAGTTTGGCACTTCAAATTTCCTCTGGAGTTAAAGAAGCATTGTTACTTTACGTTACTTAAATGGCGATTTTGTGGTCCAACAGGGTGATTTTTGTCGAATTTTAAAACTTGGAGCATCCACCTTGGTGTTTCGGATGAATCTGGCAAGTTTTCATCTGCTCATAAGTCTCTAATTAAGAAAGTTCGAGCCTATGAAGTTGCAGAAACCCCGCTGTTTGAAGTGAGAA